GTGCGAGTTTTTTGCTTACAAATTGCCACCTGCCATTTTGAGCCACTCAGCCACAGTTTCTTTTTTGGTTCGAGGTTTGCTTACAAATTGCTTTCTTCCGTTTTGAGCCGGGGCAGCCACAGTTTCTTGCTTACAAACTGCCTCCTTCCATTTTGAGCACAGTGACAGGCAGTGCGAGTTTTTGCTTACAAATCGCCTCTTTCCATTTTGAGCCGGCAGCAGGCGACTTTTTTGCTTACAAATTTCCTCCTTCCATTTTGAGCTGGGGCAGCCACAGCCGGTGCGCGTTTTTGCTTACAAATTGTCACCTTCCATTTGAGCCGGGTGCCCAGCCTATCGGCCCGGGACGCTTACAAATCGTTTCCTTCCATTTTGAGCTGGGGCAGCCACTTACAAATCGTTACCTTCCATTTTGAGCAGTGCCCAGCCTATCGGCCCGGGACGCATGCCTGTCAGCGCTGGCGCGCTGACCAATGCTGACATAAATTTCCCCTTCCATTCTCGGACAGCCCTTCCATTTCGGCGAACCATGGATTATAATGTCCCCCAACACAGCTCTCCCACGCCCTCACAGCTCTCCCACGCCCTTCCATTCTCGGACAGCGCCCATTCCTTTCCGGGCACTTTTCCTCCAATCACCGCGCTCCCCCACCTTCCTTTTCCGAAAACTCTGCTTTATAGTAGGGGATTCGGGTGGATCCGGGTGATCCGGCAAATTCGGCAAACTCCATACACTGCTATTGGCGACCACCTCTATTAGTAATGTGACAGAAAAGTGACCAGATTGGGATTTGAACCCAGGGACCCCCGGATATATCTCGGGTGCTCTAACCACTGAGCTACCCGGCTGTGGGTTGCGACGACCTGAACTGCACTTCATATTCTGGTGCCTCAACCTGAACTATCCAGACCATGTGACCGAGTTTCCCAGATTCACCCGAATTTGTTTTTCAAATTGGCGCATGTCAAAGTTTATCGGAGGTTGAAATTTCAGTTCCACCTATGTGTATTTTTTTTTTTTCTGGCCTATCTCAGACCGGACAGCGCTGGATGCACTGCTCGCACTCAACCTCGACCCAATCATCCCAACCCTGGTGGTTGGCGACTTCAACACGCACTCACGCTCGTGGTCTCCCCCTGGCGTCAAACCATCATCATGGGCTGGAAAATTGGAGGAGTGGGCAATAGGTAACCTGCTCGTGCTTGCCAACGAGCCAGGAACCATCACCAGACGAGGAGCCGAGCATGAGCGCGACTCCACCATCGACCTCACCTGGTACAATGACACAGCCATCGATGATGCTACCTTTGGCAACTGGATGCTAGACTGGGAGGGCTCCCTGGGCTCCGACCATGCACTCACATGAGTACAAGGATCACTCCTCCGGACATTCAGGCTACCTGAGGCAGACACGCAGGACCTCGGCTTCGTGATCAGCGAGGACAAAGTCAATGAATGGAGCCACCACTTCAAAGACACGTTAGGACCCCCTCCCCCGCTCCCCAACCAACCCTCTGCAGATGAAGTAGAAGAACTTGCCCAACAGGTCCACAACGCCCTCCAGAGTGCCATGGCGGCAACCATGAAACCACGGCGGCCCTACCACCCGAAGGGCGCACCATGGTGGAACAACGACTGCGCCCAACATCAGGAAAAGTGTCAGTACTTTTTCTTTGTCTTTTAGTACTTTTTCATGTCTTTTTTGTCTTTTGACTTTTAAAAAAGACAAGAAAGACAAAAAAGTCATGAAAAAAGTACTGAAAGACAAGAAAAAGTACTGACACTTTTCCTGATGAAGTCACCCAGGACCTACGCATAGCAGAGACCCAGGAAGACCGCAAACGCTGCGCAGCCCAACTAAGAGCAACCGCTCGGACAGCGAAGCGTAAGTGGGCTGAAGAGGTCATAGGGAAGTCAAACCTATGGGAGGTAGCGACCTGGCGCCATGGCAGACGCACAAATAAGGTCCCCCCACTACATGCCAGTGAGAATCTGGTTCATGAACATGCGGACATATCTCGCATTCTATCAGACAGGTTCTTCGTGGCCACCCCGCCACCAGTTTCAGTGCGAATGGCAGACGACCCGCCACCGCGTGACACCAGAGAACTTCCCCCCTACAACAAAGAAATGCTCGCCAAACTCCTAGCCAACGCCTCGAACCGCTCTGCGCCAGGTGCCTCAGGACAAACATGGCGTCTTCTCAAGTGGGCATGGAATGCCGCCCCGGACACGATCTTCGACCTTGTGTCGGGATGCGTGCGGGCAGGGCATCACCCACACATATGGAGAATAGCAATAGTCTGCACAGTCCCGAAGCCAAACCGCGCCAACTACTCACTAGCTAAGAATTTCCGCCCTATCTCCCTCCTCGAGTGCATGGGCAAGCTAGTTGAGAAACTGATCGCGCACCTCCTCTACAGGGAAATCATAAACTTCGACCTCATCCCTACCAATCAGTTTGGCGGCCGCATGGCCTCCTCCACGCTAGATGCTGGCCTCACGCTCCTTCACGACGTCCAGATAGCTCACGCGGCAGGCCTACGAACGGGCCTACTGCTATTCGACATACAGGGCTTCTTCGACAATGTGAACCGGGAAAGGCTAGTCCAAGTTATGGCCGACCTCGGTTTCTCCCACGAGCTGGTCACCTGGACACGCTCCTTCCTAGCGGAACGCATGGTGAGACTCAAATTCAACGGACACACGTCTGACCCCTTCCATTCAGATGTCGGCACCCCCCAAGGATCACCGATCTCACCAGTACTCTCCGTAATATACACGCACGCAATACTGCGGAAAGCAGAGAGCCAACGTTTCGCCTCTCTCAGCATGTACATAGATGATGGCGCCATATTCGCCTGTGGAAGCACATGGGAAGAAGTTGCGTCCTCCCTCTCTACTGTCTACACAGCCTGTGCATCCTGGCTTGAACAATCTGGACTAATAGCAGAGCCGGATAAAACCGAGCTAGTATTCTTCAGGAGACCGCGAGACCGGGAAGACCCCCCAAATCACATCTTCCTCCCGATCCACTCACAAAACACATACTACAAAGTCGCAGCCACCCACCGCCTACAGTACCTAGGCTTTTACTTCAACCACAAGCTGCGCTGGGAACATCATGTGAACATCATGTGCAACCGGACGTGCGCCACTGTCAAGGCGCTGCAGCTACTTGGCAATTCCATTTGGGGCCTAAACTTTGCACAATGGAAAATAGCCTACAATGCCATCTGCCTCCCAGTTCTTACCTATGGCTGTCAGCTCTGGTTCACCGGAAAACAGAAGACGCTCGTCAGGAAACTACAAGTTGTCCAGAACGAGGCAATCAAGATCATCTCCGGAGTGTTCCGCACCACCCCAAGGGAACCTCTCCACCAGCTACTTAACATCTTCCCCATTGATCTCCGCCTCCGAATGTTAACTGACAACTCAGCCATTCACCTTTACAGACTACAAAAATCCAGCCAAGTCCTCATCCGACTCGGAAATGACTGGCACCCAACGCCCGGCCACTCAATACCCACCCCCACCCGCTTTAAGGCCAGAACAGCCCTACGAGCCCTAGCGAGCTGTGTAGACCCCGGTGGCCCTCGCATCGAGGCCTTCCCAGACATGCCGCCAGGAGCCCCCCACTGGGGAGGTAGAGTCACAGTTCTCCCCCTACTGCCGCGCGAAGAACGCGAGGCCCAAACCACACACCTCGCGAACCTTTGGGCCACAGGAACCACCCCAATTATCTTCATCAACGCTGCCCACACGAACAAGGGCAGACATGATGACAAGTCGCTCGCTGCAGCCGCAGCTTCCCTGTACTACACAGGGAAGGAATGGGGGCACGCGGCAGATGTATTCAGAAGCCAGGCCACCAGGACTGATGCTGAGGTCAGCGCTATGCAACCTGCCCTTGCCCTGCTAAGCGACTTCCTCATATCCCTTCAGTACTCAGGCCCAGTGCAGATCATTACAGGCTCAGCCGAGGCCACTGGTCTCTTCCTCAATTTCGGAAACCACACAACACAACACCTCTCCATTGAGTATGCTCACGACATAGACAACCTGCTGACTACTCACCCAGGACTTACACTAACAATTCAACAAGCCAAACGCAACCCAGCCCTCGTCGGCTTCAAACGCACACGGCACCTTATACTAGAAGCCATCAAGCGGCCCAGGGACCACAGCAAGGACCTGAAGTCCATCAAATTCCAATGCACGGAGTCAAAAGCAGCAGCACTCCAGACATGGGAGCGACGGTTCTATGACACCCCTCACTCATCCCAGGCGTATGACAGCGCGCCAAGGGGGTGGTGGAACGTGGATCCCGAACCTTAGGTTGGGGGGGGGGGGGCTTGGTACCGAAAAAAAAAAGTTTGACGCCTGGGAAAATGGCCCAAAAAGGCAATCGAGCGCCCAAATGGAGCAGGTAAACGATGATCATTGCGGTGAGTTCTTCAATGCGAAGTCATCGAATAGTAGACACTGAGGCATCGGAATTCGAAAAAGTCGTTTCTCCTCATCGATACCCCGCAGCGTGCGGTCGTATGTTTTGTCCAACGTCTTTGGAAAGTCATCCAAGACCCTCCAGATACTCGCAGGAGGCATGCAACGCAGACTGTCAGCCTGGCAGACAACCCACCTAAACCTACAAGATCATGTGACATGTGAGTGTCTGAAGTCCAAAAGGCGAGCAACAGAGATAAGGGGAACAAGAGAAGGGAGAACGTGCAGTGTAATAAAGTGCAGGACTCAGTATTTGCTTGTCGAAGACAAACTGCGCCAGGTTTTAGAGAGGACTTTTTATTAGATCTAAAAGTACATCCGGGGTATGGGAACATAGAACATGATAAACCTGGCTATTTCCTGTCTACATAAAACGAGGGGCAACCGGAAGATATGGGCGCATGGTTTGTCAGTGTTGAGGAGGTTGAGGTGTCGATCGAGGCTTGCTTGTTTAACGTTCTGCTTGACAGATTCCTGGCAGGATACACCAAAAGTTGGTGTGTGGACAAAAACGTTGAATTCATGAGCCATAGATAGGTGCAGACCGTAGAACAAGCGTAACAGAATGAAAGAATCCAACATTGAGTAATATGCGTCCATGTTATTTATTCTTGGAAAAACAAATATACGTGGGTACAACATACTACTTTAGGAAGGTGGGGGGGGGGGTCACCTGGCCGAAATAAAAAAGTTCTACCCTTAGTACTCGATTTTCATCCCACCACCCCCTTGCAGCGCGCTGACTAGCCCCCCAGATGGCTGCCCCCACACAATACTCCGGATAGCCTCAACAGGCATCCGGATCAAAGACACAAAGTACATACATCACGTCCCACGAGACGTACAATCTACTCTCTTCCGCTTAATCACGGGACACGCCTTCACTGGCGCGTACCGCCTCAAGTTCAAACGTCCAAACCTCCCCCCGGCAACGGAGGAGGAGGTTGCATGTGCATGCGGCACGGTGCCCAAGGACACAGACCATGTTCTGCTCCACTGCCCGCTAACCCACCACCATCGACACCGCCACTTATTCACAAATGGGCCCATCGACTCGCTAAGGAAGGTCTTTGACCAACCCATGCGCTGTCTGGGCCTCCTACGCTTCCTAGAAGAGACTCGCGTTTGCGTCAAACTGCGAACCACCTGGGAACCGGGATGAGAGGACGAAATTAGAATATATATTGGGAGGATCCCCAGAGCAGGACTTGAGCTAGCATCTCGTCCAGTATTTACAACCACACACGAGCCACCACACTCGCCAGCCATTGCATACCCCCAATCATCATACAGGCACGCGCCACCCGCGAGTGCTTACCATACACATTTTTAGACTGTAATA